GGGGCCACCCCCGCGGGGGCGGGGCGGGGGGTGCCTGCGGGTTGACCCGCCGATAAAAACACCCCAAGTCCCGGTTCACCCTGAGATAGAATAGATTTATTAGCAAGAGGTAATCAGGAAACATATATTTTTACAAAAAAATGGAAATATTTTTCCAAACAAGCTGTAAGTTGAAATAGTTTTAGGGCTTGAAAGAGAATTCTCATACCACGAGGTATTGCTTACAGCAAAAGTGTTCTGGTTGTTAGAGTGGAGCATGCCTGCCACTGTAAAGGTAAACTGTGTTTATATACTGTACAATGTAAAAAATACATGGTAATATTCACAGAATAAGCACTACATTACTATATTCCTGCTAGAAGGTGGTTAGACAGGATTACAGTATATGTAATAAAAACACTCGGTCATCTTTTTCTAATTCTACATCATGTTACTCATAGTGGTCACAAGGTATACGGATCTATAGCATATCAACAGAAGCTTGTCATGAGCCGTACGCAGCGAGGAGAGAGGGGTCGGTTCCGTCTTCCCGGCTTCGGGGGCCGGGGGCAGCGGCCCAGGGCCCCCCGGCGCCGGGCGGCAGGTGGAGCGCGGGCAGCTTCGCGCGGAGGGATGAACTTCAACGTCTTCTCTTCCCCCGCCTCGCCGCGTCTGCGCGGGGACGCGACTGCCGATACCGCCGGAGCGAGAGCGGCTCCGTGCTGCCCCGGAGCCCTGCGGGAGCACCGGGGCTCACCCGCCCGGCCGCCGGCCCCCTCCAGAAGAACAAATGACAAAAATAACATCATCGAAAAGAAACCGGGACTCCAGCAAAGTGTCGATGCGGGAAACCCTAAACGATGCGGGAAATCCTACGCGAGGTCTACTGCGGCCTAAGAACGAGGGGGGCGGTTTGCTTGGAGAAGCACATACGTGACAGTCACTCCAGGGCGTCCAACGGAAACAGACAGGTATATACAGTATGGTATAGCGTGTGTACACGGGCAGCCGCCGGCCACCGCTCCGGGCTCAAGAAGGCAGTTTGGGCTCTATTCGCAGAGAAGCTTCATAAAGGGTTTCTTCGTCCATCACAAACGACTGGTCCAGCAGGTACTGCGTCACCTGGGGAGCGAGAGCCAGACCGTTACCAGGGAGGACTCACCTCTGCTGCAGCCGGTGAGGAACACTGAAATTGGGAAATGATAAAGGCCCGAGCAGCAAACGAGTCGCGGTGAAGTGCCTGCAGTTCCTGCCAACCGACACAGGCATTGCACATGCTTATCTCATCCCAGGACTGCAACGTCTTGCCTAGTCCTCAGCTGCTCTTCTGTTTTTCTTGCTTAATTTTCCTCCCTGGTACTATTTTATCAGCCACAAAGTTCTTTCCTGTTGAGAACACAAAATCCTGATAATTAAGGCACCGTGTAAGCGGGGAACAACGTTCCTGCTGCAGGAAAGCTGCTGAGCTGCTGGTGGGGCAGGACATCTGCTCCAGTGCTAGCAGAAAATCTGCTCACAATTCCTGGCAGATTTTTCCCAAATTACTTTTCGGCCTCGCTAGCAGCGCGGCGTGCTCAGCTGATGCCGAAGATGGGCACAGCCCATGCCGGGGCAAGGCACCGCGCCTGGGGTTCGGAGCCGGCCGGCGCGAGGAGCAGCCGGCAGCAGAGCCTTTGCCCGGGAAGCGCCGGCAGCGCAGACGGGGCTTCACCCCATCACCCACAGGCGTGCCCGGGAGCTTCTGCACGGCTGTATCCCACCTCTGCAGGGAGACAGGGCGATGCACAGCCGCGCACGGCACCGCCTGCGCTACCCTTCCCCGCTGCACTTGGCACTGGCTGTTTTCAGCCACGTTTCTCGGGGCAGTGGGCTGCTTTCACAGACACTGGTCTTCTCCCTGAGCAGGAGAGGCCGGGAGGAGGCAGGGGTTACCTGGGGTGTCTGGCTGGGAGAAGGCTGCGGCCTGAGCCCAGCCCCAGGCAGGTACTGGTGGTGTGGAGCGCAGGGCTGGGCTGCCTGGCGCTGCAGCGGCTAAAATCAGAGCCTGCAGCTCCCCGACCTCCGCCAGCCCGGCCAGGGGTCATGGTCCAGAGGGACTGGGGCTGCTCCTGCCACCGCACATGGAAACTGGCATCATCGGAGGGTGGTTTGGCCCAGCCTGATCACCAACAACACGGCAGCCGGGGCACGGGGCAGCTTCGGCAGACGCCTGCGGGGCAGCAGCGCTGTTTCAGGAGGATGTGCTGTCTCTGGAGAGCAGCAGTGCCGGAGCCAGCGGAAACCCCCACAGCCACCAGCCCAGTTCCCGGGTGGCCCTGCGGTGCTGCGGCAGAGGAAGTGCGAGGGCGGCTGAGACCTTTCATCTCATCGCACGCGTGGGGCCACCACGAGGCAGAGGCCACCCAGCACCAGGCTGCAGTGGGGCGGGGGGACGCGCTCTGCTCCCAGCCCACACCCCCAGCCTGGGGAGGGGGTGCTGCCCCAGAACAGCTATTTCTCAGCATCTCCAGGGTGGGCTCTGCCGGTGCCGGGATAGCTCAGCTGCGCGCAGGCTGCAGGGAGCGACCCGCGGGGGGACGCAGCGTCTGGCCCCGCTCGGTGCAACGCCTGCTGCAGGGAAAGGGGGGCACTGAGGGAGGGGCAGCCTCTGCGTCGCGGCCCGGCTGCGCAGGGAAGGAGCAGTGCATGCGTTTTGTAAACACACAGAGCAGCCCCAGGAGCACTCTGGCCGGCCGCGCCCCGCCGTCCCCCACGGCTGTCGCATCCGGGCGTAGCTGCCGTCTGCGGCAATGCCTCCGCTGCAGCATCCTGGGGGAGGCACGGGGGAGCCTGCTGCAGCCCCTGCAGCCACCCTCCGTCCCCTGCACCGCTGCCGACAGCCTCCAGCACGGCACAGGCCCTGCTCCCGGCGCAGGGGCACCAGCCACGCTCCTGCTGCAGTGGGCAGGCAACAAAGGGCAAGCGAGCGCAGGGCGCGAGGGCAGCGGTCCCAGGAGCCCCCGACACTTGTTACTCCTTCCCTTGGAAGGGCCTCATGGATGGGGAAAGGTACAGCTTCTCGTTCCACCTCCAGGTAAAACACGAGCGCTGGCCGAGTTCAAGTCCTGGAGCTGCCCTCCCACAGGACGGGGGCCCCCGCAGCAAGACGCATGCCCGTGCTCTCGCAGCGCACAGGTCTCTGCCTTGGCCGATGTTTGCCCGAAAGCGGCTCACAGCAGAGGACGGCTCTGTCCCCAGTACCCACTGCTCCCCGGGACCCCTTCCAGGCTGCTCGCTTGCCGCACGGCCTGACCATGGCCACGCTCCAGCCCCAACTCGGCAAACCGTGCCGGGCTGCTGCCCCCCATGCCCACAATCGCGGCAGCTTGCAGAAGGAACCAGAGTGAAACGCCAGTGCTGTTTGCTGGGAAGAAATGGCAGCAAAGCTAGGGACAGGCAGGGACAACGCTGACTTGTTCTGGCCAAGGCTCAGCCGACGGGACCCTTTTGCCCTGCCAGCAATGCTGCGTAGGCATTTTATGGTTTGCGTGGCATGAGAGGCACCAGAGCAGGGAGGTCACTGCCCGTCTCCCATGCCTGTCCCCCTCCGTTACGCCTCGTCTGACACAAGCCCCCCACCTGCGCTGGCTCTGCTAGCATTTCGGTGTTAAATGTCTTACAGAAGCATCATATCTTCCCCGAAGGAGCTGCCAGAAATGGAAGGCTGCTCATACGCTGCATTGGAGTGGGAGACGAGGAGAGGGAGCGCGTGGCTCTCGGGGCATGGCCGTACCTTAGGCTGGTGCTCTATCTTGTAGGAGGTTTGCTGGAACTGGCGGATCTCTCTTATGATGTGCGAAATCTGTCCGGAGGTAAAACACAGAAGCTGTTTACAGCACAGTCATCACCGCCGGCACCGCGTCCCAGCACCGGGGAGGGCGACGGGCAACTGGTGGCACGCACTCCGTCTGCACCTTTCAACCACGGCACGATGAAAAGGGCTTTTTTGTTTCTTCCAGACATATCCCTCACCAGGGAGAGCCCCGGGTGCGTGCGTGCGTGCAGGGGGACACGTGTGGCCGCCTGGTGCTGTGTGGACGATGCCCAGCTGTGGGGACTGCGCGGGGTAGGCACAGACCCGGCCAGCACTGCGGCACCGAGCCGCATCACTCCAACCCAGCACCCGCATGCCCACCGCAGTGGGGCTGGGAGACTCACCATCCTCATTTTGGAGAAGTTCACCAGGCCATCCTCGGTGTAATTCGGAGTCCCCTCCTCGATGAACGCCAGGTCGGTCAGGTACATTCCCAGGTAGGGGACGCACGGAGGGTCACAACTTTGAGAGCAAACCAGAAACAAATAAGAAAGAAAACTGCCTTACTGGGGGGCTTTGGGCTTTGGAAGGAGGGTCGGACTCCACAGCAGAATTTGAAGGATGCTAATACACAGAAACCCTAGAAGGAAGCCTCTCCCCGGGAAGGCTGCTGGTCTCCTGGGCCGCATCCTGCAGCCGCCGTCCCTGCAGGCAGGGCAGGACAAACACGAGCTGCAGCCATGGCCCACACGAAGCCACAGGCTGCGGGAGGCGAGTCGGGGCAGCTTCGGCAGAGGCTTGGAAAGACCTTTCGAAGCCTTCCCTGGCGGCCTCGGCCACCACAGCCAGGGAGGCCCCCGCCGAGGGCAGTGGAGGTGCTGGGCTTGCCCCCTGCCCTTCACCCCACACCCCAGCCCAGTCCCCCGGGAAGATCGCGGGTGTGTGCCATGCATGGTGATGCACAAGCCCGCGGGGATGCACCAGCTCCAGGGCAGCCCAGCACCCCGCTCCCATGCACCCACGGCACCAGGCTCCTCAACTGCAGGGCCAAGGTAACACCAAGTAACGAGGATTTGGGGAGCCTGAGCGCTGGCGGAGAAGCCCGATGCCATCTCTGGTAGGGTGCGGGGCCGGCTGCTATTGCAGCACCGCCAGCTCTCCGCTGTGCGATGCTCTCACACGGGAGCCACCCCATGTGCTGCCGGTAAGGCCCACGCCAGCTGGAGCGGCATGCTCCGGCTGGTGGGAAACCGTAGCTAAATATGGTATGCTTTGGGGTTTAAACTATGAGTCTGTAAGGGGAAGGGGAAAAAAAGTTTCCCGGTGTCTGGCAATGATTTGCCCCTTTGCAGTCCCTTTTACTCAGGTCTTTCCACATCGCTGCTCAAAGGAGCAGCTCGTTACTCGGGATCGCTTTGCAAGCCACTGCCCCGTGCCTGCTAAACAAGGCACGCATTAGCGCAGGCTCCGAAATGATCTTGTGAGCAAAGCCCCAGCCCGCAGCGTGGGGGCCGGGGGGGATCCAGGTCCCCTGCCACCGCGGGGGCCCCGGGCCAGCCGTCAGCAGCCCCCTCGCAGCAGCAGCCGCAGGAGGAGAATCATCATTCACTCACTTTTTCAGTGCCTCCCTCAGGTTCTTGAACCTGCCCTCCGACGACACCAGCTTTTGTAGCTTATCAATCAGAGCCTTCGTCTGCAAGAAACCCAAAGCGTCACCTGGAGAAGGCCCTGGAAGAAACCCCCATCCCTGCGGCCGGCGGGGGCGAAGCCTGCGGAGCCGCAGGGTTGCTCCCATCCCGCCCTGCCCGCAGCAGCCACCGAGGCCCGTCACCCCCCTCCGGCTGCTCGACGCCTCCGCAGGTACAAATTCTGCCCAGGCCGTTACGCCTGGCTCCCAGTGACACCCAGCATTGCTGAGCAAGCGCTTGAAAGCAAAGTTCCTCCAACACATAATAAAAGCAGGCTATGCACTTGTTTCCTTCCCCTGCCTCCCACCTTTGCCTTCACCAGTGCCTGTTTCAATTTACAGGTTTATCCCTTTGCAGGAAAAAAGACGGTGTTTCAGATTTGGAGGAGCCCACACAGCGGTTCTGGCTCGGCAGCCCCTGAACTCCGTCAGGCTCTGCCGCCGTGCAGGTGCCAGCTATTTCTGTACCAAGTAAGTCAACGCAAGAATTCATTTTGCTCATGCATAATTGGTCTGAGAAGCCCAGAAAACCAGTTTCAAGAAGCATCTGTGTGTGTGCATACAGCTACAATGACTCTTTAGCCGCACATCTGACCTGCAGGATGAACAAACCCGACAGCAACGCGGGGTCTGAGCTGCTTGCGCACCACCTCCCTCCTGGGCAAGACCTACAAAAACCTTGCTCCGTTTTCTAACTGTTTTTTCCACACGTGTCTTATGCCATCCCAACACCATCACGCTCAGCCCGTCAAACCCTCCCCTGCCTCCCCCGAAGGGGGTCAGCCCCGCGCCCCTACCTGCTTGGAGACCTTCAGCCAGGTCTTCTTCAGGCGGAAGATGGCACTGCGGTTGAGGGAGGAGGTGATCTCCAGCACCGCGTTGTAGTTGTGCAGGCACCTGCAGATGTCCGCCACCGCCACCCACTTCTCGATGGCGCTCACCCGCGCGTTGATCTCCTCGTTCCGGAGGATCTCCGACGCTATCATGTTACTGACCTTTGGGGAGACACCGGTCCCAGCCCGCGCGTCAGGAGGACTCCGGACAAACAGCTACGCGCCCTCCAGCCTTGCAGCATGTTTTAAAAAAGATTTCCCTTCGCTGCAGTAGCCCCAGCAGGAGCAACGGCACCAGGAGACGCTCCACCCGCAACGGGTCCCCAGGGCACGTAACATCCATGGAGCACGGGCGGGGCAGATGCAGCTGGCACATCCCAGCCCCAGCCAAGGCCGGGGGCAGGCTGGCTGCACTGCCTCGCCTCCGCCCGCCTCCCCGTCCCCTGCCGTGGCTGCGCTTACGTCATTAAAGTGTTTTGTGTTCTTCATGATGTAAGGAGTCCTTTCGTTCTTCTCAAGCTTCATCCAACCTTGCCCAAAGAACTCTCTGCAAACGACAACGTTCAGATCAACATTTATTTCCCATTCTTCTGGGACACCCAAGCCCTACAAGCTCCACTGCACCCACACGGGACGGAGGTGCCGGGGCCTTCGCCCTCCACGCTACTGGCAAGGGACCGCGTGGACGCACTGGAAAGTGCGATGGAGGTGGGAGGCTCTCCCGGAGCCAGTCGCCCCGGGGACACCGGCAGATAAGCCACAGGGTCAGGCCTCAGATTTGGGCTCAAGCCCAGCCTGGGCTACCTGCAAAGCAGGCGGCCGCCGGGAAGGCTTTGCACCCTCTGGGTTTAGCCTGAGACAGGCTGGCTGCGGGGGAGCCGGCGGCCGCAGAGCCCTGGGCAACCAGAAGAGCCTTCCCTCACTTGCGGGGATCACTCACTCATACGGGATCTTCTTGAAGACCAGGTGATCCAGCAGCGTCAGCTGTTCCGCGATTTCCAGGGCAGAGTGGTTTTCAAAAGGTTCTGCTTTGACTCCCTCAGCCTGAGTGACAAAAGCGACGAGGAGGGCTCGTGGGTTACGAGCATAGTATAATTTTTTACATTTCACGCACACAAAATGAAAGCCGAAATTGTCTCCAATACCAAGAAATCCACTGCTCTGCTCCCGCAAGCAGCCTGAGAGAGCTCATGTGGCAGAGGGGAGCTGGGCCGTGTCCCCGGTGCCGAGCGGGACTGAGGGTCCCAAGCCAAAGACTTTCCCCATCGGAGCCGGCGTGCATGGTGCCGCACTGCTCCGATGGTCCAGAGGCACCGCATCCCACATCCCACCAGCACTGAGAAGTGCCGGCTTCACACAGCCCTGCAAACCTGATGGTTTTAATTATGTTATCATCCAAGCACATGTACAGACACAAAATTAACTAATCTTCTCTATTTAAGTAATTAGGTGTCAGCTATGGAACGGAGCCCTGCATGCTGACTTCTGCAACCGCTGCCTTTTTGCTCAACATCTGTTTAATTAACAAAGCGCCAGGGGATCCCAGCCGGAGCGGTGCTGCCGAGCCGCCGCCTCACGCCCGGCTACCCCTGCCCGGCAGCTCGGCCAGCCTCGCCAGCACTGCTCCACCAGCACCCGTGGGGTCGGCAGCTCCCGGACCCTGCCGCGCTTGGGATGGCAGTTCCAAGGGGTGTCCAGAAAAGCAGGAGAATGAGGCTGCCCCTCCTCCCCGCTGCCTGGCTCTGGCCAAGCAGTGCTTTTAGGCACAGGGGGACTCGGGGTGCCCCGTGCTCAGAGCCACCCGGGCTGACAGCAAGAGTCTCCGGCCCCGCGTGGAGCGCACACGGACTTCGCTGTGCTTCGGCACAAACACAGCCCGAACTCAGGGTTCTCCCAGCAGGGAACTGTCTAAAAACCTGCCGCAGCATCCCTCCTCCTGGAAACGGGCAGCAGTGTCCCTCCTGGCCGGGTCCCAGGGGAGGGGATGCAGCAGCTCCCTGCACAGCAGGGTGCATAGGAAAGAGGGGCCAGGCTGGCGGCGTGCTGGGAGGGAGCAGCGTGATCGGAACCACGGGTGGCTCCGGGGACGGAGCTGCAAAGGCCGAGGTGCAAAGCGCAGAGTGCGCAGGGTGGCAGGCACAGGGCGGGCGCGGGTGCTCTGCGCTGCCTCCAGTCCAGCCAGTTACTCCCACAGGCAGCCTGGACCCTTCTCACTGCCCTCGCTGCCCTCCCCAGCACCACCTGGAAGCAAACAGCAAATGGCACGGCGCTGTGCCTGCTTTGCTCAGGGATGTCACACTGGAACACCAGCTGCCGCATTGCACTGTCCCCTGGCCAGAGCCAGCGGCACATGGGGGCAGCGGGGCAAGGGGACCACGCTGCGGGGTGGCCGGGGTGCAGGACGTGCAGGCCATGCCATGGGTCAGCTGAGCCCCCTGCTCTGGGGCGCTGCTTCGCCCCGAGAGGAGGCATCACCTCCCTCCAGCACCCTCTGCAAAGCAGGGTTTTTGGAAAAGCAGAGTGGCTCCAGGCACCCATGGGTGAGCCGGCCCCCGGAACCGTCCTGGCCAGCAGGAGTTAACAGCCCGTTGCAAAATCCCCTCCTGGCCAGCGGGAAGGGCGTTGCGAAAGCGGCTCCCGGGGAGCAAACACCAGCTGGGCTTCCTCTGCCTGGCTCAAGGGCTGCGGGGAGTGGGTGCACGCTGTGGGGTGGGGGCTGCGGGGGGTGGGTGCACGCTGGGGGGTGCAGGCTGCGGGGGTTGGGTGCACGCTGCGGGTGGGTGCAGGCTGCAGGGGCTCACCCTGCCAGAGCACGGGGTGCTGCTGACAGCAAGCGCTGGGTGGGCAAGCGGCACTGGTGGCACTCCGTGGCACTGGTGGCACTCCGTGGCACCGGTGCCATGCGGGAGGGCTCCGAGCCCGGCCGAGGGCTCAGCACACAGCACAACGCACACCCCCAGCACACGAGGAGGGGGCCGGGGCAGCCACAACCCCCATCACCCCGGTGTGCACCCCAAAGCCAGGGCTCCCTCATGTCCCCACCGCACCTCTGACCGCAGGTAGCTGCTGCTCAGCTGCTCAGATTGAGGGGCAGACCGAAACCCTCTGGTTTTGTTTGCCTTCTCTTCTTCAAAGGAAGTTTCCAGCACTTGTGGTTGCAGACAAAAGCTTAAAAAAAACCCCAAGAGGGCTCAACCACTCCAGAAGCTGGCTGGCAGACCCAGGGACAGAGACGCTGTTGTTTCAGGTGCACCAGGCCAATTTAAAGTGGCTCTTGGGTTTTTCTGGGAGCAGACTTTGTTTTTTTTAAATGCAAGAAGGTGGCAAATGCACTGCAGCCGCTCCGACGGTTTGAAATCCACTGCACGTTCCCAGGGCTCTGCTCCCAGGGAGCAGCACCGACGCCAGCTGGGCCAGTGCCCGTCACTTGGAACCAGCCCACGGCAGCACTGGCGCAGGCTTGGGGACACAGAGGACACGGTGGGAACCCACAGGGTTTTCCTGCGTCCCTCGGGCAGGTGCTGGCAGCAGCGGGCAGGCGCTGGCAGCAGCAGGCAGGCACGTCTCCGTGCCCACTCCAGCCGTCCTGCCGACGGTGCAGGAGGACTAAACAGCCGGTGGGCTGGATTAGTGTTGCCTCTGCCTGTAAGAGATCCAGCTGTGCTCCCAGCTGGCCCTGTCCCTGGAAAACCTTTCCCTGCTTTGCAGCCGTATGCCCGGACAGCGGGCTTGGAGAGCTTTTTTTGCTCTCCCCCGAGCCGGGTGTGCCGGAGCGCGGGGATCTTTAGCTGTTCCCCTACCACCACACCGAGCCGCCAGGCGGAGTGACAAAGGGAAAGGGTATTTACCATCTGTACGACCTCCTCCAGGGTTATCTGATTGTCTCCTGGGTCCTCCTGCGTCAAGGTCCTACGGCATGAAAAGATAGCGTTACTTTAGCTGGGAAAGCATCAGACCCGCACGCCTCCAACGGGGCTGCAGCACGACTTCGTGGTTTCCACAGATCAAACACGCGGTGCGCATGAGAACGCTTCTCAGTCCTGTTTCCTGTTTTAAAGAAAAAAAACCCTGAACCGAGGCCAGAGCTGGCCCCGCATGCGGGGACAAGGGTGGGGGTCCCACCTCGCCCACGGGCCCTGAGCATGTCCCGACGCGTTGGGGGTGCACCCAGCACCGCCCGTCCTCCTCCTCGGCGCCTCCCGAGCCCCAGGCCCTGCCGCGGGCACGGCCCCTCCTGGAGACCTCGCGCCTGCTCTCATCCCCGCTGAGAGTGGGAAGCGGCCGCCGAGAGCCCGGCACAGCGTCCAGGAGAGGCAACCTCCCACCCACGGCCCTGCACCTTATGATGTTGGCGGCTGCTTTCCTCTCCTGGGTCAGGAGCTCGGGGTCATGAATAACCTCCTCCAGAAAGCCGATCACTCTGAACTTCAGCTCCTCATTGGTTTCAAAGTCCTGCCAAAGCCGGCACAGCCACAGTGTTAATGCGCTATAATGTGAGTAACATCAACTCCCAGCAGCTCCGCTCCCTGCCCGTGTAAACCCGGCCAAGACGGACGGCCCCGCGCTGGCAGCACCGGCGGCTGCTCAGCCCAGGGCAGAGCCTGCCTCTCCCCTGCAAAATCCCAGCCCGCAGCACCCAGCAAACAGGAACCAGTCAGGAAGGCACTGGGCTCATTCTGTCCCATTGCACTGGCATCACCCAGCCTGGGAGAGGCACGGGGGCTTCCCAGTGCCAACCAGTATGGCACCGCTCCCAGTGCCCCCAGCAACCAGCAGCCGAGAGGGACAGGGACAGCAAGGAAAGCCACCCAGTGTCCTAGCCCTGACCCCAGCCTGAAAGCCCCTAACAGGGATCAAACCCAGCTGCTCCACCTCCACCGAGCCCAGCTGGGGGGGGACCGCAGATCCCAGCTCCCCTCCTTTGCACACCGAATACACAAACACTGCAACCCACGCCTGGCCCCCCGCTCTGCACCAGGGGCTCCCAGCTCCCCCACCTCGCAGTTTTCATCTCCCCCCCCATGTCCACTCATTTGCTTAATTAAACAAGAAGTGCCAAATCGTCTTTCCAGATGGAGCCTGGCTGAGCCGCCCGGCACACAGCCGAATTCACACCAGCGGGGAGGGAGGGCCCCCGCAGCACCCACCACCCCCCCGGCCCCCGCCACCCACCTGCGAGTGTTTGGAGACCCAGTGCCGCAGCACGTTGAGGACCCGGTTGGTGGCCGCTCTCCGGATCACGAACTCCTTGTCTCCATTCCGCTGGTCCGTTGGAAAGCCTGAAACTGCCAGCGATCCCTTAGCACAGCTACAGCTCCGTCGGGAATCGCTTATGGGTATTTTCAGGACTGCTAGAAGGAGCAGCCCCGTCTTCCCAAGCACCCCTAAACTGCCTCTTAAACACAAGCGCCGGGAAGGCTCCGTGTTACGAGGCAGCGGGGTGCTCAGCCGTGGGGGCGAAGGGTTCAGCTGCCGGCAACCTGCACGTTCCTGGGGCACCCAGGGACCACAGCCCGGAGCGGGCGGGTGCTGGGCTGTGTGTGCTCTGGGCACCCCTGGCGGGGGCTGCCTCCCAGCCGAGGGCAACCCAGCCAAGTATGGTAGAAAGAGGCACCCCAAAAACACGTCCCCGCTCTCTCGGCAGCCCGGGGCAGGGTACCTGCGCTGGCGAGGGACATCCTACGGTACTTCTCCTTGGTGGGGGTCCCCTCGTTGGCTCCCGCCGTGGCGATGGCGAACGCGGAGGCAGCAGACAGGGCGCTGCGGGTGCTGTCGAGCTCCCGGCAGGACGTCATGACCACGCCGTTGTTGTAAGAAAACAACGAGAAATCTGGGGGGAGAAGAAAGCCAACACGGGAACGGGGCTCATGGGGGTGGTGGGTGCAGGGGCTGGGGCAAAGAAGATGGGCAGCTTTGGATGCCACCATGCCATAAGAATTCATCCAGCACCGCTTTAGCAGGAACTAAGCCGACAGGGTGCAAGAGAGCGTTAAGATAGCTACAGCGGAGACCCGAGCAGATAAATCGATGCTTGATGCCAATCCAGGCTCTCATCTCGAGCAGCGTAACTCACTCCTAATGCACCAGGTCAGCCCCGGGAGGGGAGGAAAGGGGTGAGAAGACCCGGTAAAGACCAGGTCAGCAATATGGACTGGAGAGTTCAGCATTCCCTATCCCCTTGCAGGAAAATAAAGGGCAAAGTCCTGCTCCTTCTCACACCTGCTTCAGTTTTATGCCTGCGCCTTTAGCATCTCTGCATGGCCAGGTTCCAGGGCAGTGCGCAGCCCTGAGCGACCCCGCGCGGGACGGGTCTTGGCTCACTTGTTACCTGATGAATTTTTGCATTTGATGGACTTAGGAGTCGTCGGAGATTTTGTTGGGGAAGTTTCAGCTTCTGCTTCATCGCTCTGGTTGGGATCCGTGTCTGACTCTTCCCTGACAGAGACCTCCGAGCCTGGGAGGAACAGGGAACCCCGTCACCAACACCACTGGACATAGGCACACTGCAGCCGCATTTTAGCTCTTCCAGATTTTCCTAACGTCTGGATCATTCCAGCTGGGCACACAGCAACCAAGTACAGGGAAGGTACAGAGTCTCACAATTGCTTTGGGGTTTTTTTGGGGGGTGGGGGTTTTTTTGGGTGTTTTTTTTTGTTTTGTTTTGTTATTACAACTCACTCAGCTTTCAGATAGCACACAACCCACAAGAGGCCCGAGCTCTCCGTGCTGTGTGTGGTGCATGTATTGCCAGCTCGGAGGCTCTGCCCGGGGCTGGCGACGGCGAGCTGGACCGCAGGCGAGCTCCAGCCCAGGCACCCCATGCATGCGATGGGGTGGGATGCGGTACCTCCCTCCTAGGGCGCAGAAGGTGCTCACGCAGCCCACGGTGAGGGAGAGGATAATGTCGAGGCGCAAACAGGGAGGCTGCAGCCTGTTCCCGTTTTCATTAAAGACAGGGAAGCTGCTGGCAGTGCCGGAGTCGTGCACACATCCTCGCTGGCAGAGGGGTCCGGCCCCGAGGCAGCCGCCCCGCAGCCGGAGGGCGCCAGCTCGGGGTGCCGAGTGTGACCCCGGTGCAGACGGGGCAGCGCGAGCACTGGGCTGGTCCCTGCACCGCGGGTGGGGAGCGCAGCTCAGCCTGCAGCCACAAACGCCGCGGCGAGTGCTAAAGGCAGAGGGTCCCTGGGTCTCCACTGCTGAACGGCTCCCGTGGGGCTATGGCAGGAGGGAGCCTCGTCCTCTGCTACGGTGCCGTGCTCCAAGCCGTGCCCGGGCACGGCGGTGCACGGATGCTCAATGGGGCGATGCCCCGGGGCTGGGATGCTGCAAAGCCCCCGGGCACGGTGTGCCCGATTCCCCGCACATGTCCCTGTACCCCCCGCAGAGCACCCACCAGAACCGGCCCCCTCCCTGCCGGCTGCCGGGACTGGACGCCCACCCACCTGCAAACCCACAGCAACTTACTCTGCTTGCTCGGCTGCAGCTCCTCTTGCTTTTCTGAGGCTGCTTCTCCTTCGTCAGGGATTTTATTGGGATAGTTACTGGACACGTACAGTTTGTTTATGTCCAGCGTGGTCTTACTGAAGGGAGCCATGGAGGAGTACATGCTTGCATAGCCGTTGGAGGAGCAGCTCAGAGCAGCCAGGTCCAGCGCCTTCCCTCCTGTGATGATGGGGATGTTGAGGGAGAGCTTCCTCCGCCGGCTGGGGGACGAGGACTTGGTGATGGAGAGCGGGGGAGGCGAGGAGAACTTGCGGTTGGCTCTGGGGGACTTGGGGGGCTCGCCGTACAGCAGCTTGTTGTTCTGGCTGTTTGCAAACAGGAGCTCCAGGGACCTTGGCGGAGAGACAGGGAAAGGCTGAACTCGCACCTATTCTGCCTGAGAGGTTGTGGAGATCCCCCCCAGGAGCTCCAGCGGCACTGGGTCTCCGGGGCATCCCCCTGGGCACAGCAGAGCCAGCGTGCCCCCCCGCCACCCCGCTCCCACTGCTCAGCCCTCCCAGGAGCAGGGACACCCGCAGAGCTCAGGTTTATCTGCTTCCCCGATTTGTGGGTGTCACAGCTCCCGGGGACCAGGTGAAACGGCCCTGGAGCGGCCCCGGGGCCAGGCAGGTCTGGGGAGCAGAGGACTGACTCGGGGCAGAAAAGGGGACGGAGGAGCCCCCCCAAACTCTGCCAGTCCCTTAAGGGCAGGACAGGTCACCGGCATGGGCACTGCAGCGATGCCGCGCGCAGCCTCACCGTGCGGGGATGGCGCTGATCGGCTTCTTGTAGATCGTGATGAGCTTGTCGAGCACGACCAGGGCGGTGGTGAAGACGCGGTACGAATGCAGGAACGTGTTCAGAAAGTCAATGCTCAGGAACCGCAGGTCCGTCAGCCTCTCCAGGAGCCGTTCCACGCTTGCATAGCGGATCTGCAGGACCTTGCAGGAATTCATCGTTTTACTGAACCTAATGTCAACATCATCACAATACAAGCTGGCATCAGACCTGCAGAGAAACAAGATATCTGTGGTTCCAGCCTGGAACAAAACCAAGAGCTGCTTCACGCAAGCAGCTTCCCCCCCGAGATGTGCGGGGACCATGGAAAGTGGTACGGGTCCTCGGCAGCCAAGGGCTCTGTTCGTACGGGGTGTCCCTACGTAAGACGCAGGCAGGAACACTCCCGGGGAAAGCTAGGAAATCCGCACCCCAGAACGGGTGGGAACACTGCAGAGTGCTCAACAGGAAAACCGTGGAATGAGTGTCCCTGGGGACACCCACGAACCGAGACCCTTCCCCATGCGCGACGGCAGGCCCGCAGCAGCGCGGCGGTCGACGTGGTGGGGACGCCCCCGCGCTGCCCCGTCCCACCGGCTGTGCCCGGCCCCCCTCACCACACATGTCCCTCCTCGGGCCGGGCAGCCCTTGCACCCCAGCACCCAGCACGCAGAGCCCGCAGCCCTCTGCGCCCCTCTCCGCCGGGGTTTCACCCCCCCACCCCTTTACTATCATTATTTTTTCTCCGAGCTCTCCCCTTCAACTTTCGCACCTCCCCGAGCACAGTCCCACACAAATCTCCTCTCCCAGCTAATCAGCACTCCTAATCACCACGCTGGGAACAGCACACCCAAGGGCCTGAGCCCACGGGAGAGCCGCCGGGGTCCCGGGGCTTTCGGCAGCGTTTGGCTGCCGCGGGAGCTGTGCCGTGGGGCCGGGCAGAGCCCGGCGCTCTCCGCAGCGCCCGGCCGCGGCAGCACTCACTTGATCATCTGGGGGACGGTGACCTTGGAGTTCTCCTCGAAGGCGTTCATCATGAGGCCGTTGCAGCGGATGTTGTCCACGCACTGGAAGAGACACGGGTGTGAGGTGGGAGAAGGCGGCAAGGGGACGCAGGCAAGGGCATGGTACATGAGAGGTGGCCAGGAGGCAACCCCTATTTAACCAATAACTTTTTCTCTTCCTCCCACCTGGGAAAAAATATCTTCAAAGTCATTTGTACCAAGCAAATGAAGAGCAGGTATAAATCATTACCACGTGTCTGCATCAGAGCAGAAATCCAAACCACATATCCACACGTGCAGGCAGAGCGCGGCTACGACAGACCCTGCTCCCCCCTGCTGCGGCTTTGTCACCGTCCTCCTCCACCTCCTCCTCTTCGAGCTACCAGACACCAGCAAGCTTACGGCAACGGCCGGGCTCTTGGTGCACCCCAGCTCCAAGTCACCCTCTGCATGGAACTGCTCTCCCTGGGTGCCCAAGCCTCGGTGGTCCACCCGTGCTGTTCGTGCCAGCCCGATGCAGCGAGGCCTCAGCCCGCGGCAGGTCCCGAGCACCGCGATGGCACCGGGAAAGCACCCAGGGCGCAAACCCAGCCGGGCGCTACCGCCGCAGCCCAAGGGCTGGCAGCAGAAGCGCAGCCGTGCAGCCAGTGCCAAGTGTTAATCCTGGGTGCCCAAAGCCACTGCCGCAGCCTGCGTGCGGGATCCCAGGGGAGCTGCTTGTCCCTGGGGACTCTGCACCCCGACACCTCCTCCCTGCCGGGTCCGTCCTACCTGGCTGATGTCACTGGTCCACGCAGCCTTCTCCTGCCTGGACGAGGCCACGAGGATAACCGTGAAAGACGAGGAATCTTTTGGCTCCACCACGATTTTGAAGTCAAGATGGTCAATGTCTTGCCCCGATGCTTTTGCTTTGGAATAGAAAAACCACACACAGTGATTGTGGAAAGATTTCCCCACCCCTCTCCCCCAGCACAGGTTTTATTAAAGTTTTAAGGAGTTTGTCGCATTTTGCAGGTTGTCTGCGGTGAGGACGTGACAGGTTTGCTGGGCAAAGGCTCCGCGTTTGCAAAGTAAAGTCTGCACACCACGAGTGCAGCACGGCATCGCTGCCGGGGCCCCGGCGCCATGTGCTGGGGAGAGCCCGGCTCCCCGGCACGTGTTAGAAAACTCGTCATGAGGACAAGAGAAAGGAGCCCGTGCTTTTTCACAAGTCTGCAGTTAAGTGGGCACAGCTGACGACGTCCAGCATCTTTGCCTTTTCCACTTGCCAGCACTGAGCCGTGACGCTCGCTGCCTGCCTCGGGAAGGTCAGATTTGCATAAATGTGCATCTGTTTGCTTCACAGTAAATTATTTACTTAATTAAATCCAGCCAGTAGATCATGACTTCCTTGAATCTATTCAGCATCTGAATTTGCTCCAGCCCTGCTGCAGGTGGTTTTATGCCACGCGGACGGATGGCAGCAATGTCCGGGAGGACACCACGTCTGCGACAGGGGACGCGGGCAGTGCTGGCCACGCTGCCATCGGTCCCCAGCCCTGGAACACGGCAGCTGCCTCCAGCTGGGGAAAACATTGCCGGGGCTGGCAGCAACCTCGGGCCAAGGCCCCGGCGTTAAGTGCAGCCTCCAGCGGGACCCGCACCACCGGCACCTCCCCGGCCACCCTGGGTGCGGGCTTTGCCCCCCCTGCAATGGGGTGACCAAGCTGCAAAACTCAAAACTGCCTGTGGTGCGCAGCGGGAAACAGTCTGCAGTGCTGGTGGTGCCGGCAACCTCAGCAAAGAGGGTCCTGGAGTAGCTGGGACTTTGCTTTTTGAGGTGCTCCTGTCTGCTCAGCACCCACCGGGAGATGCACAAGACAACCCCCCTGCCCCGCACCCACGGGTGGGGGCTGAGCAGGGCCCTGGGCATGCCCCAAGGGGCAGCTGCCCGGCACGGGGCTGCGGGTGGGCCGGGGGCACCTACCGTCCTCGTCGGTGCTCTCCTGCTCCTCTACCAGCGTGCAGTCGATGAGGGAGATGACGCCGTTCTGCAGGGGCGGGAGTCAGGGCTCAGCGGCAGGATCCCCCCGGGTGGCTGGGGGCTGCCCCAGGCCCCGGCCCCCCACCCCGCCTCGCAGCCCACCGCCCCAGGGACGGGGACGGGGCAATGCTGCCGAGGCCTTC